GTATTTTATAATGATAACCCTAGGAAACTTAGTGCCAGAGTTCTACATTTTGCTTCTCCTTGTTTTCTTTGCCTGAATTCAAGTATCTCAGGAAACAGTTTAATCTGCTGAAGCCATTCTACAAAGTCAGATAAAGCCTAGAGGACTGACTGAAACTCCTCAAGGTTCCAGCGTCACTCCTGGTTGTGCTTCATCCTGAGTCTCCCTGATTGAAATGTATTTATCAGTGGATCTCTTTGGATAAATTAGATGTTGGGGGAAAATGCAGGAAAATGAACATATTGTCTTTTTCACCTTATATATGTGACGGCAGACTTCCTAATAAACCATTGTGATGTAACTATTCATTTGTTCTTTTCCCACCAATTTTATACATCTTTTGAGAAGCAGACTAACATTGCTGCATTAGCATATTGCATGCATTTATTGGCACATAATTTCAAAGAAAAGCCAAACACATTACAGGAGATATCTGTATTGTATTTTAACCTCGAATATCTATTTAGCAGTGTTTTTATTTATATAGCCTCAGAGGGAGAAAAAGGGCATGAGTGGGCTATGTTCTGACAGTCTTCAGGTAACAGAGATACTTCTGTACCCATAGTCACCCATTCTGCTGAATAGATTGGTATCTCACAATTCTGTGAGCTTTTTGACATAATATTTCTACACTACCAGCATGCCTGTCGACGTAACCCAACTATCTTCTTTGCAGTTTGCATCAAATATTTTTCTTGTGATGGTTTCTTGTGTGGTCTTGAAAGTGAACGGTGAACAGTCCTTTGAAAGGAAGGAAAAATATACTAGAAATGAATTTTAAAATACAAATATATTTGGCACCACAAGGCCTATCACAAAAACTTCATAAACAAGCATCTGACTCAAGAACTGGAAGTACCATTATCAGATGTGCTTTCAATTTTCAGATATTTTAATAGACTGTAAAACAATAATGCAAGGAAGGGATTGCCAAGTTTTAACACTAACGTGAAGCAATGTTCCCTGTTTTTAGGAAGTGCTGGAGTCTCAGAATCAAGAATTTATAGAGAATCCAGGGGGCGTGGTAGCAATGAACCCCACATAAAGCGTCCAATGAATGCCTTCATGGTGTGGGCTAAAGATGAACGAAGGAAAATCCTTCAAGCTTTTCCTGACATGCACAACTCCAACATCAGCAAGATACTGGGTAAGAAGAGTATTAAGGGTTCAGTGATGTGTGAAATACAGGTACAGTTTTGTTCTCAGCATTTGCTGAAAGAGATTGGGTTTGGAAGCTAAGCAGCTCATGTTTTCTACATATCTAAAAAAGAAGTACCTTATTGAGCCTTCTCTTCTGACCATGAAGCATTCCACATTCATCAAGAAATAATGCCCAAATTCTGTGTGTTTCTATACTAGTTGTTGCAATATTTTCTCTTCTTTAAAAATCTAAACAATATTTGTACTAAGACTAAGGGAAAAGGTTCTTTTCATACAAGACTCTCAGTATTGGTATTGACCATATACTATTTTCCTTTGTAAACACCATAGAATTTATCATGTCATGGGGGCAGGGGTGGAGGAAGAAATGATGTCTGTTCTAATACTATAATTGAAAACCAATTTAGGTTGTCAGGACAAAACTTGTTGGGCATGCATTATTTAGTTTTTACTTTTGGTAACCTTACATGTATTTTCAGTATTATTTTAAAAGGGACTTTTCCTGCTATTGCAACTTTCACCTTAACAGATGACAGAATACATACATAGACACTGGAGCACACAGCAAAACTGGGTGAGAGGAAAGAGTACTGATTAGAATGAGACCTATTATACACCAATTTAAGTCTCAGAAAGAAGGATGGGAAGATTCCATTTCGACATCACCATCATTGTCATCTTCACCACCTTTATCTTCACCTTCAAGAGCATAGTGTCTAGGTTCTGAACAACCTAAGCAAATTTTTATTATTCTTTGAATTCTAAGAGCTAAATAATAAAAAATAGAAGAGGAACAGTATATTAGCACATTTTGTCTTTGGCAAATAAGTAACAAAATTTGTCAAAGTTATTAAAGCTTTGTTAAAATCCATATGCGCTTGGAATTACATGTAGCTCATGTAGCTCACTGTGCCCTTTGATTCTTTACATTAAGGAATCAGCCTTCTGAAAGTAGTTACTAAACATGTAATGTGTTTTTATGATCCCATATTTTCCAACAATGGTAATAGATGCTTCCCAGTCCACAGTGTACATTTGTAATGAAACAAAAACAAACGAAAATCATTTACTGCTTAAACTTGTGTGTCAGTTTTTATCAAAATGATTTTGAGATCTTTAGATGAAACTTATCTCAATATATGAACATGTGAAGCTTTATGTGTACATAAACCTGATTATTTATGCATAAATGTGTATCCATCTATAATAAAAAAACTGAAACTGAACAAAAGGAAATGGACATGTTTCTGCATCTCTACTATCTCATCTATTTTCCTTTTTATGATGATATATTCTACCTTCCATATGGCTTTTTTCATTAAAAAATACCATATCTGTTTCATTTGAAAAAACTCTATAAAACAATAAAATACTTTATGTAAGCTTATCTCATATTTTAATACATCAGTTATAATCACATTAGAAATTCCCAAATTTCAAAAGAAACCTAAAAACTAAGACTGTTTAACTTGTCTGTATATCATTCAATTTGTGTGCCTGAATACTAAAAAAATAATAATGACTGATTAAAGCCTTACTCCAGGTATAATAGAAATATCAGTTTTGATGACATGAAATAATTTAGGAAATAGAGCAAAAACCTTCATGGGAAAGAGATGTCTGGCTATAAGAATTCCTTTCTGATTTGAAGGAAAGAATATTAGAATGACTATATGATTATATAACTATATGATCATATCATAATAGGCTGCATAAAAGAAAATGCTGCCTAATTTAATTAAGATTTCTCAATGAAATTGTGCTGATTAAGGATATAGCAGAAAAAATCCACTAAGGTCTTAGGCTTCAATATTTAGTCATAGCTTCAAACAAATAAATGATCTTCAAATATCCACAAGATCATTCTGAATGGCTCATTTCATATAAAAGTACAAAGAAAGCTTGATGTTTTCCTTTTTACTGATTGTTTTGGATAACAGCCTCCGACAGCATGCCGCTAATTCATTCTGCTTAAAACAGGCGCTTGAGCTGGGTTGACATTTTACGTAGTCTCTGGGGATCCTAGTTGACATTTTAAAGGGCTTCTAAGCATTTTATAATACCCTAAAATCTGGTTTTAATAAGCCATTCTGCTGAAATTGTTAACATAAGGAATCACCTTTTACTGTTTGGCACTAGATCAGGAATGGGGGACATCTTTTTCTGATTAGATATACAGTAGTTGGAGGAAAATGTGCAAATTCATTACAGACCCTGTGGAGATGACACTGTTGCTCAGCTCAAACCCTTCATTTTTATTGTACTGCCAGGTTTAGAAAGGGAAAGAGCACTTTTAAGATTGATTTTTTTTTCATTTTGAACATCAGGAATTTTTGATTGAATCTTCCTGTATGTCATCAGGAGGAATACCTAAATGTACTTGATTCTTTTTTCATTGTTGAACGCTAGTCTTTTGAAAACAACAGGTGACTTACTTCTTGTACATGGTCAGAGTGAGCAACCAGCCACACCCAAATCAAGGAGATGTTTTCATCTTTTGAAGGTATCCAAAACGCTATCCTCCCATTTTCATCTGCTGTGTTTAGGGGATTGCATTACTGTTACAAACAATGGTTGTTGTACCTGCAAAGCCATTGAAACAAAAACCAAACTTGTCATTTAATTAACTTCTTTCAGAAGCTACTCTTAAAAAATGGAAACTGCATTTGCCACCAAACTGAACCACTGTACTGCTGAGTCATAAAATAGAGTAGTTAGCTTAAGCATTAACTGGGTCAAAATAGTCCTTTAATTCTTAATTTGGAAAAGACATGTGATAGTGAGATGGCCCTATTTTTTTTTTAATGTAGTTTAGAATTCAATGTTACTTCCAGAGAAATTATATTATCAAATGTCAAAATATTTTGATTCCAGTTCAGAGTTAGAAGCCAACTTATTTGAGAATGTATGCATCTTTTACTATCCTTTTTCCTGGGCATGTTAGCCAGAACAATGTTAAGTTCCTCTACGCCCTATTCCCACTGCAAGGTCTTGACCATTTCATTCTTCCTCCCTAGGCTACTCTTCTCTTTCTGTCCCTATAGGAGTCATTTTTGCAGCAGTGCCTTCCTGACCTATAGAATCCTGATCCCATCTCCTTATGATATGTTCTCATAGCTTCCTGTACTTTTCAACAATTGTAACTGAAATTATACATTTGGCAGTTACATATTTAATCTATTTCTCCTTAGTTGGAATATAAGCTCCAAAAAATAGGTAGCATAATGACTCATCACAGCATATAGTTAATACCGCATCATGCATATAGTAGGAAATCTTAAAAATAGCTCTTACCTTCCAAGGCACATTACTATGAGGCATAAACATCCCCTTTCCTTAGAGAAAATTTCTTTTTTGATCTAATAGAACATTTAAACTTAAGGAAGAAACTTTGGCAATTCCTATCCCAACTGAGAATGCTAGTTCTTTTGTTCTACTTGGTGATATTTTAAGTCAACTATTCCTTGAGCCACTGTTTGATTTCTCTTGTTCTTCAATAAGTTATTCTGGTAGTTAGTCCACTTTTCCAGGCCCTGTTCTGAGGTTAAAAATTATGGTATACATACTTACAAGACAATCCACAAGAAGAATTGATCCAGTTCAATAATATTATAGCTTTATTTGTGTTTATATTTGCCCTAAGAACAACAGGATTTCCAAGTGCCTCTGGATAATAAAGAGTATGAGTATGTACCTACAAATGATATGACCTGAGCAGCTGACTAAATGTTGGACACGGCATTTAAACACAAATTTGAGAAAGGAATAGAAAAATAAACTCTGTTATTTGAACTGTAACCTGAGTTCCTGTTGTAAATATAATGAAATCATATTGGCTATCTAGGTTGGAAAAAATTTGTTTACAAATCTTTGTAATATTTACACCCAGGCAACATCTGTTCTAATAGGAAACAATTCTAAGGGAAGAGAAGTCCCTTTGTCTGCATTTCTTTTAATAAATGTAACAGCCCACATTGAGGCATTCTCACCATTTGTAGGAAAGAACAGTTCATTAGTGAGCTATTTGTATTTGAGATGTGGTGTTGTGGTTGAATGATGAATTCATTTGAAAGGTTTAAGAACTCGCTTAGATGGTTTTGCGAGTCAGGTAAAGGCAGCAGTACCAGTACATATTAGGCTAATTCCTGTTATTTTTTTCTTTGTGCCTTTGGGTAGTTTTGGGCCTTCCTGGTGGCGATAGTGGTAAAGAATCTGCCTGCCAGTGCAGCAGACACAAGAGACACAGGTTAAATCCCAGATCAGGAAGACCCCCTGAAGGTGGGCATGGCACCCCAAGATATTCTTCTCTGGAGAATCCCATGGAGAGAGAAGCCTGGCAGGCTACAGTTCATAGAGTCACAAACAGTTGTACACAACTGAAGTGACTTAGCACACACGCACGAACTGGTTACTTGCAGATAAACATACACAAATAAACATTATTACTACTATTTCTGTTATTACTACACATAGTCATACTGATAGAAGCAAAACTTTAAATCACATCTATACTGTGAATAAGCATAAACTATTTTTAATTAAGCTTCAAACTTCAAAAATCAGTTGTTTTTCACAATCCTCGTTGAATCCAAACCAAAATTAAAAGTGAAAGGAAAGAGAAAACCAATTTGGACTAACATTACTAATACATACTATATCACAGGAAGTGAAAATTTTATGTATTATTGAAAATAATTTACTAAGAGAAAAATATCGCTGTAAGTTTTGCTTTCTGGCTTAAAAATATTTCTGGAGAGATCCTATGTAGTAGGTAGATATAAGTATATAAAGACACATATTGTACCACACTTTTGATTTCTGTCAAACCTGAATCAGTAATCTTCAATTTAATAGTTGTGTGAGCTTTGGTAAGTTACTTCATCTATTTTAACTTCAGTTTTTTTCGTTTTTGGAAATGGGTATAAATGCCGTCTGCTCATGAGATTGTGGTGAAAGGTAAAAATGAAAAAACTTGTTTTTAGCAAGGTATCTAATGCGCAGTAGTTAACCCAGGGCATGTTCACTAATTATATTTTATAATTAAAATTTTAATAGAATGAATTTTTGACTGTAATCAAGTTAGCATACTTAAACATTTAGGGGAGAATAAGCAGTACATGTAAAATATGTTAGAAGGACTTCCCAGGTGGCTTAGTGGTAAAGAATCCACCTGCCAATGCAGGAGACTCTGGTTCAATCACTGGGTTAGGAAGACTCCCTGGAGAAGGAAATGGCAGCCCACTGCAGTCTTCTTGCCTAGGAAATCCCATGGACAAAGGAGCCTGGTCTTTGTAGGCTGGCTACAGTCTATGAGGTCACAAAGGAGTCGGACAGGACTTTGCAACTAAACAACAACATGTTAGAAACCTTTGTAGTAAGTAATAAACTCCCACATAAAAATACTCAATAGCTAGACAGTTACCTTCAGATTCAAAATACATAATGAGTCTCTGCCTAACGTTTCAGTTCATAGTTGAATTACATCATGGATTAATGTAGAAATGAAAGATATCGCCATTAAATCTACTGTGAGCTTTTAAGTATATAAGGTACAAGTTTGACTAAATTGTTAATTCAAGGCAAAAAAAAAATATTGCTTAGTGTTTGTACCTTTGAGCACACAGTTTCCTTGACACAGACACCAACAGCTCAGTCAAAGCTCACTAATGCTAACCTTTTTATATACTTGTGGGATATGGCCAACATTTTTACTTTAGATTTTCATATTCTCAATTATCCTTTGGTTAGGATCCTCAGCCAATGTGCAAATGGGAATTTTAACCTTTTTTTTTCCCCATAGGATCTCGCTGGAAAGCTATGACAAACCTAGAGAAACAGCCATACTACGAGGAGCAAGCCCGTCTCAGCAAGCAGCACCTGGAGAAGTACCCTGACTACAAGTACAAGCCCAGGCCAAAGCGCACCTGCCTAGTGGATGGCAAAAAGCTGCGCATTGGGGAATACAAGGCAATCATGCGAAACCGGCGGCAGGAAATGCGGCAGTACTTCAATGTTGGGTAAGGAGTTTCCGGTCCGGTCCTTTTCCCATAGGGAACCCTTCCGCTTACTCTTAGTGGGTGGGGAAGTGTATTTGTTTAGTTGCAAAGCAGCATTTTGAGAAAGAACCTGGCACAGTGTATTTTGTGTGACTAAGCTGCCCCCTTATAATATCGAGGAAGAACATTTCAAGTGAGTCCACTCCAGGCTCCTAGAACAATGGCTCTGACGAGAGCTTTGTTTAAAGGCTGGTTTGAAAATAAAATGAGAGTAAAGAATTTTGAAACTTCCTCTTAAAAACGTAGAAGTCTTACTGGTTTTCTTTTGTCTTTTTCTTGCTGCTTTTCATTACTTCCAAGGCCTCATAGTGTAGATTCCTTAGCAACTAACAACTTAATTGAGATAATAGGATATAAAAATGAATTGAAAGAAAGACTTGTTTCTGAATATAGAGGGGTCTCTGGGCTCTCACGGCACATACCTGGCCTTAGAAAAAAGATCACATAAAGTAGGGATTCTGTTTAGAACCTTGCACAGCAAGGTTGTGAGTGGACAAGTTTCCTTCTGAATTAAGGATGCCTCACTCAGTATGGGTCTTCCCAGATAGCTCAGTGGTAAAGAATCTGCCTGCAATGCAGGAAACACAAGAGATGGAGGTTCGATCCCTGGTTTGGGAAGGCTGCCTGGTGTAGGCAGTGGCAGCCCACTCCAGTATTCTTGCCTGGAAATTCTCATGGACAGAAGAGCCCAGTGGGCTACAATCCATGGGGTCGCAAAAGAATGGGATACAACTGAGCACCCACTCAGTATATCTTACCCTGCTCCCTCTGGCAAGGCCTAAAACCACACTGCATGGGCAGAATTTTCCCAAAAAAAAAACACAGAAATAAAGTTTTCATATTTGGAACAGTAATTAAGATCCTGTGAGCTCTGAAAATGACAAGAAGATACTTAAAAAAAAAAAAAAAGGCTTTTCAAATATGTCCTCTCCCCTCCATTTCCATGAATGTGTCTGCTTGCTCAGTCCAAGAGTTCTGTGATTTATATCTCAGTGCCTGACTCTTTTCCATGTGGAGCTCAAAACCCAACCCTCCTTGGGGAGAGAGTAAACATATGAATGAATGAAAGAAGACATAAATGAACATCATCTGCTGAATCCTTCATACTGGGACCAGTTACAGGATTTGTGGTTCCCAATGTAATATGAAAATGCAAGGTCCTTGTTAAAAAGTTTTTAAGGAATTTCAGGATAGTGATGATGGAACCAAGTGTGGGATTTTTGTAAGCCCTGGATACCGTACAGCTGCAGAGGTGGTGCACCCACGAGGCCAGCCCAGCCTTCTACCCCCACTGGTGATCTCCCCATTTCAGGGATGAAGTGGGCCATGTGCTACTGTTCACTTCTAGTGGGTTTTGGGCAATAAATTTTTATGTTGAGAGCTCTAATACTTAAGGATTTTTCCATCAAAATTGTGTTATCTTTAGGTTTAATCTTTTTAAATTGTTTCAACATGTTACAGTAAAGGAAAAATTAACTTGGTGTCAAGTACTTAAATTCTATTTATTAATCTTTCTGCACCTCAGTTTCTTTTCAGAAATTAAAAAAGTAACAGTCATTTTAAGAATCAAATGGCAACATGTGAAAGTGCCTTGTAATCTATAAAGCATTATATAAAAGTAAGGTACTTGGACCAAAGTAGGATGCCATTTTCAAATGTCAGGCAGTAGGGTAAAAATCAAGACCTTTGACTTGGTCAAGCCAAGCACATTCATTCTAGAATAAGGCCTGCATCCAACTCTCCACTCACCCAGGGTCTCTTTTTGGAAATTCCTCTCTGACAGGCAACAAGCACAGATCCCCATCGCCACGGCTGGTGTCGTGTACCCTGGGGCCATCGCCATGGCTGGGATGCCCTCCCCTCACCTGCCCTCAGAGCACTCCAGCGTGTCCAGCAGCCCGGAGCCCGGCATGCCTGTTATCCAGAGCACTTATGGTGTGAAAGGAGAGGAGCCACACATCAAAGAAGAGATCCAGGCTGAGGACATCAACGGAGAAATTTATGACGAGTACGACGAGGAAGAGGATGATCCGGATGTAGATTATGGGAGTGACAGTGAAAACCATATTGCCGGACAAGCCAACTGATAAGGGTCAAAAGATTGTCGTGACCTTAGGACTTAAAGAAGCCCTAGCTGGTTCATCCTTACCAGTGGCCAAGCACATTAACTTTCTCATACACTGACTGTTACTTTAACTGTTAGTCTTAAATAGTTGGGACATCAGCTGACTAATAGACCTCAGCCTCAAAAGGCTTGGAAAGGAAATAAAAATACAACAAGCAGACAACAATATCAACAACAAGAGATTGAAATAAGCTATGGGTAAAATAATGCCAGTAATTCAGCTGCTACATCCAAGCACTGAAGTCTTACCCGTCAACTTTTTTTTTAAATAAACTTTATGGCTGTTTGTTCTACAATGTTCTAGAAATTCTCACTCAGGTACACAGTGCCAACAAGTGGCTTGTGAATGTGTTTTGTTGTTTTGTGCTACAATTTTTAAAAGAAATAAGTTTTGTTTTGTTTTTCGGGGTTTCTGGGTTTTTTCCTTTTCTTTTCTTTCCTTTGGTTTTTTTGTTTTTGTTTTTGTTTTGTTTTGTTTTTTTGGTAATGCACCTGACAGAAAAAAAAAAAAAAAAAATCAAGACCTTTGACTTGGTCAAGCCAAGCACATTCATTCTAGAATAAGGCCTGCATCCAACTCTCCACTCACCCAGGGTCTCTTTTTGGAAATTCCTCTCTGACAGGCAACAAGCACAGATCCCCATCGCCACGGCTGGCGTCGTGTACCCTGGGGCCATCGCCATGGCTGGGATGCCCTCCCCTCACCTGCCCTCAGAGCACTCCAGCGTGTCCAGCAGCCCGGAGCCCGGCATGCCTGTTATCCAGAGCACTTATGGTGTGAAAGGAGAGGAGCCACACATCAAAGAAGAGATCCAGGCTGAGGACATCAACGGAGAAATTTATGACGAGTACGACGAGGAAGAGGATGATCCGGATGTAGATTATGGGAGTGACAGTGAAAACCATATTGCCGGACAAGCCAACTGATAAGGGTCAAAAGATTGTCGTGACCTTAGGACTTAAAGAAGCCCTAGCTGGTTCATCCTTACCAGTGGCCAAGCACATTAACTTTCTCATACACTGACTGTTACTTTAACTGTTAGTCTTAAATAGTTGGGACATCAGCTGACTAATAGACCTCAGCCTCAAAAGGCTTGGAAAGGAAATAAAAATACAACAAGCAGACAACAATATCAACAACAAGAGATTGAAATAAGCTATGGGTAAAATAATGCCAGTAATTCAGCTGCTACATCCAAGCACTGAAGTCTTACCCGTCAACTTTTTTTTTAAATAAACTTTATGGCTGTTTGTTCTACAATGTTCTAGAAATTCTCACTCAGGTACACAGTGCCAACAAGTGGCTTGTGAATGTGTTTTGTTGTTTTGTGCTACAATTTTTAAAAGAAATAAGTTTTGTTTTGTTTTTCGGGGTTTCTGGGTTTTTTCCTTTTCTTTTCTTTCCTTTGGTTTTTTTGTTTTTGTTTTTGTTTTGTTTTGTTTTTTTGGTAATGCACCTGACAGAAAAAAAAAAAAAAAAAAGAACACTCTCTTTCATTCTCTCCACCTTCTCCATCTCTATACTTTAAAGATGGAAGTCTGTTCATGGGGGGGAAGAGGGAAAAAGAGCCTGTTTTTAACTTCCTTGGTATCCACCACAAAATAAGCAATCATTTTCTTTAGAGGACTTTCCTTATCTGTTGCACACCACACTACATCTTTGAGCAAGTGCCAAATTTGTACTGAAGTGTTGACCTAGTTGATTTTTTTCCCTTTCCTTTTTCCTGTTCCTTCTTAAATTAGGACAGTGTTATATCTTAGACAATCCCTTGAAAAACCTGAAATACCAGCAGCTGGTGAGATTTGACTTTTTTTTTTTAATGGAAACTGTAGGTGCTGTTCTCAGGTGAAAAGAGAGAGAGAGAGACATAAGAAATTTAGAGAAAAAAAATATTTTCTAATCTTGGATTTTTGTGTGTATGTATGTGTGTGTTTATGGTACTAATAGGAATAATGTTGGATCATTGTGAGTTAAACCCACATCTGGGGATGAAATCCCACATCCTTCTAAATGACTGGTCTGGAAGCATCCTTGACCTTGACTTTGCACTTCGAATGACAACTTAACCAATATAGGGCTCAGAAATTATATTTTTAAATTTCTAATATGATTATTATTGAATGGATCAGGTGGCCCTGTATAATAGAGGGGTGCGTGTGTAACGTGGAAGCCGAATTCTCCCAGATGTTCCACTAACATTTGCTACTTAATGATTTCTGTTTGTTTTTCCTGTCAGTAACTTCGAGCAAAACAGTCGTTCCCCTTGAATATATTTGCCCATTTTCTAGAAATATAGGATTAGCTTATTTCTTCAACATTCCATCCTTTCCTGATCAAGAAATGGAACTGATGATTTTATAAGGAATTCTTAATCCCTCCATGAAATGAGGTGGAGGCCATTTGCATTTCAGAATTGTGGGCCAGGTACATTTCATGCCATAAAAAGCAGGATTTTAGAAGTCATTGCAACGCTCGCCACTGCTCTACCCTTGTTGTAAGATGTATCCACTGAAGTCCAGTTTCTGATTCCAGCAGAGTGTGTGCACAGAGGAACAACTGATGCTGAAAGGACTGCTTCGTTAGACTTTGCTAGCCAAGTGCCAAGGCAGTTGTAGGGCTTGTTCCGATAAATGGGAAATCATCTAAAGTGAATCAGCGCTGCTCATGCTAAAGCGTTAGACAGTAAATACTCCAACCAGTAGATTGGATGTGCTATGATTTTCACTCCAGTCATCACTTTCCTATCCCACCCTCCCCAAACCTGACCCTTAAGTTTGATTTTTACGTATAAATAAGAAAAAAAATCCCTTTTTATTTTTCTCTCTCTCAAAAGACTTGCTCTGGGGTTTTGCTTGGAGGAGCTAATCATACCCTGCATGTCAGAGACTTCGTTTTGTTTGTTTTTCTGTTTGTTTTTGATGACTGTATTTTCATTTGAACTGCCTCTTTTTGCTAGTGTTGTAATGATGATGATGATGATAAAATAATAATAATAATAATAATAGTAATAATAATAATAATGGTCAGCTGTTCCCAGATTAGTAAGTTATGTATAATTTATTTCTCCCTTTCTATTTTATTCTCCTCTGATTTGGAAGTGCAGCCAATAAGTTGTTAGATATTTAAAACAAATTTCCATCTCCAACATGTATGTATATATATACATACACATGTGTGTATATATGTGTGTATGTATATATACATACACACACACACACACACACACATACACACATATTCACTCACACTGTTTTGTTTCTCCTTCCATAAGTTTTCTCCTTTTTAAAAATTTGGCCCCAACAAACGTCAAGTTCTGGTGTTTTAATACATACAAGTGAATTACTAAGAGGGTCATGTTCAATCTTAATTAACTTATGCTCTCATCACTCATTTTATTTAATTGCCACAGTCATCTAGAGCCAATTTTTTTTGTTTTTGTTTGTTTTGTTTTTAAGCACTCTGGATAAAAAAAATAGACACTTGTTTTTATATCGTTATTATGTACAATGTGAAAACAGATTTTTAAAAATTTGTTGTCTTTGTTAACAAATTCTTTCTGACTCATGTGCTGTTCACCTCTCACTTTTGCTGGATACTTATTTCCCATCATGTTAAAAAGATGCTTTGTTTTCATTTCATGACTTTGGGCTACAAGAGTACTTTGTTTTAGCTCCAGGTAGATGCCTCTGAGGGCGTTCATGACCGTCACCAGTTCTAACACACTTACCAGTGAATTGACAAAACACTTCCGTTTAACCTTTTTTTGTTTGTTTTTTTTTTATTTTGTTTTATTTGAAGAGGAAAATGAAATTGTTAATGGTGACCTTTAACAGCTGAAAATCAAAAGTTAATTTTAATGTTACATAGTTAGGTTTATGTCAGAGAGATGAAAATGTGCATGGGTTGAAACAAAGAGCAAGTCCGTAGCTTTGAATTCTGTTCTCTTGTTTTGATGTCCAATTCACTGAGGGTCACAATTGTTTTGCCTTAACTTTCCCCAAAAAAAAACAAAAAAATCATGTTAATGTTTAAAATGCTTTGAAGTCATTTTGATAAAAGGTGCTATGAATGGCAAAGTATTGGGTTAGCACATTGCCTTTGGGGCATTTGACTGGTTTATCAGTTTTGTAAAAGATCCCAAAACCTGTATTCTTTTTCTGTGCCCCATAATGACCAAAAAAGACAAGGGAGAGGAAATGAGAGTAAGATCAAACTCAAATGAACATAGTCTCCCATCTCTTTCATTCCCTACCTACCTGTTCACCTGTCACATACCACCCCCACCCCGTCTCTCTCTCTCTCTCTCTCTCTGTCTCTCTTTCTCTCATACACACACACACACACACACACACACACCCCAGCACACACGCTCACCCCAGTACTGAGGGATAATCTTGCCAGAATTCTGTTTTTGTTTCTGTTTATGGCTGTTGTAATCAATTTTTCTAAAAAGAGTCATATTTTAATATGAACCTAGGAGAGCATCACTGGAGAAAATAGGTTACAGTTACTCATATATAAGTTGCTAAGAATTTGGCTAATAACTATAATTGAATAAAATACAAGACTATTCTTCAGTCCACTTATACCTAAATTAGTTAAGTCAATTCTTAACGTTTATTTGGCATCTGCAGTTAAGAGTTAACCATGTATAAAATCCCTCCCAAAGAGCGTAATTGTTATTGCAACCAAATCCTCTTTATAAGAAACAAATATAAAAGAATTTCTTTGATGAAATAATTTCATAGGTTTGATTTTGACATAGGCATTTTACCTTCATTCATTTAAAGAAAATTATCTTTAAATATTTTATGGTCCAACTTCAGATATTTTCTTAATTCAGAAGATGTTATTGTTCACAGAAGAAATGTCTTATATCACATTTAAAACATCAAAAATCATTACATTTTCATTTGTTCTAATGGGTAAATTATTTGAATTGTAATAAACAACTGTATATTTACAAACAGGTTTATAAAATATTTGTCTATCAAGTTAATAGTAAAATAATAAAAATTATAGGGTCTGCAAGGAAAAAATATGAAGCCCACTTAAAGTGGTTCAGAGATCTCTTTCATCTTATAGGGCATAGGTTTTTGTTTAGACAGGCTTTTACAGTATTTAATTTTAAAGTTTCCTATAACTATCAGTTTCCCAGGTTGAAGATGTTAGGTTTTCTACTGACTGATTCCTGTCCTCCCCAGTGTTTCTGTCACTGGTTCACTAGAACAGTATTTATACAGCTCCACCGGCTCTAAAGAAGCTCTTAGTCCTTCTAACATTTTGGATTTTATGAGTAAAAATGGGAAAAAGTAGAAAAGAGACAATCAAATGCCTGGAGCTTAAAACAAAGTATGTGCAACCTACCATCTCACTTGAAATTTAATAAAATAAATAATTATGTAAATATAACATAGAGTTATAGATTTATATTTTGTTCATAACACATAGTGTAATATAAGTTGTATATTTTCATGTTTTTGGTTTTATGTTATCATTCATGCCACAATAAAAATAAAACAGGAGTTTATGTACTCTTAAAAAAAAAGATGTGGGTTGCCACCAACCTGTTTTTTTTTTGTTTGTTTTTTGTTTTTATTTTTTGTTTTTGCATTCTCTTTTTTCAGTATTACTGCCATGCAAGGCACCAATAAAAACAGCAAATGTGTTCTTTACCTATTATACTGTGTTTCTTTTCACAATTCTTGTTATGGTGGTTTAATTATTAGTTTTCATATGAAAAATAATTTTGCTTTCACTATAAATAACCCCACTTCCAAAACTGACTTTGAACTGAGAATTAAGGGTTTAAATCTTAGAGGTGAACATTCAAGGAAGCCTCTTCATAAGTATCTCATCAGAGAACTTCCTAGAATGTCAAAAGTTATCCTTTTGTATATAACTGAGTCTAATAGGCTTGAAAATCCTGCAGCCCAAAGCACCCTAAATATCATTTTTCCTAAGTTTGACACCATCACTGGGGCAGGCTTTCTATGCTTTAGAATTAAATTTCATTCTATTGTTGGTATAGAAATTCTAAATTTCAGATTATGAAATTAGTAAGATCTATAAATCCACTTTACGGTATCTGATTTAGAATAATGGATATTTCTACATTGTTTAACATTCTGACTCTAATTTCTGGATTCTGCCTTCAACTTTGTAAGCAAATGTTACAACAAGAAGGCTCCTTTTCTTGCAGTGGCCAGTTTTGCACGTCTCTTCCACCATAAAATGTTTTTCTATCTATGTGTAACCATTTGCCCTAAGGGTTTTTGGTTGGTTGGTTGTTTACTTGGTTGGTTTTTAGATAAGTGTCAAGACACTGGGTCAGATAACATCTGGTTCAAATGAATCTGAAATAAATATATAAAGAAGATATGTTCTACAAACACTTTGCCCATTGAGTCCCTTCACAGAAGTAGTTTACAATGTCTACTCCGTGGGCTATCTGCTTTAGAAATAACTGTTTAAAAATATAGATTCTTAAGTCAGCCTCCAGATGTCAAGAATCAGAATATCTAGGAATAGGGCTAAAGCTGTTGCTATTAACCAGCTCCAAATAATTATTCTGCATGCCCTGGTAAAATAACCAAGAGGTGGGTCTATTTTCCTCTTTTATCTACCTATTGTACATGTCAAATTCTGCAGATGGTATGGCCTACCACAGTTTTACCTTAGGCCTCTATACAAACCTCTATGAAGCTGAGGGTCACTGATTAGGCAAGACTTGGAGACTGGAAAAGCTCAGAGTCTGTCCCTTCATAGGTTGTTTTTGAAGTCATTTGATCTATCAGAACACGTCCACATGTCATCCTTGTTTCTCTGTGTCTCCTTTTGCTCCTCATAGCAAAGCAGTAGACTTCAGAGACCCCATGCCAGTAGAATGCTGAAAATAAACAGAAACGCACGTTTCCGTTAATACCCACTTAATATTTGCCAAAACATTGAGGTACTTTTGAAAGAAAAATATCTAGTGTAGTAGCAGAGAAACGATCATCCCATGTAGTGTTTTTAGTTAAGACCACCTATAGCTCTAGTAGTCAGTCTCATCCTATTTCTTCAGGAAATCGCATCATCAGGGTTTGTTAAGTACGTGTGGATGGGGAAATCTTGTCTGCTTATGAAATCTTGACTCACCCAAGGTGCCAAGTCCCACCTTTGGTTTCTCTCCTACCAAATAAATTTCACTTTGTTTTGTCCTGTCACACTATTTTAGAAACATTTTTTTCTTGAACTTTGTGTTTTTTTAATTTCTTATGGAATATTTAGGACTAGCAGCATGCAATAATAGGTGGTTTTCTTATTGCCAATGCCTTGAACAACCAAAAAAATTCTGGCAATAGTGAAAAGAAAACCATTCTTTTTTTATTTCCTCAATTTTGACAATTTTAGAAGTTGGTGTTTGAGGAAGTTGACATGTGTGTTTTTTAAAAAATCAAGATACTGTCATTCTTACCAAATTTTAAAGTCCAGAAGTCATTTGTACTTGTAACTTGACATCATCATTGAAACCTCAATTATAACAATGGAGGTGAAGGTAAGCATGAATTAGTTCAATATCTAAGTTAAAGAATATTTATGAAAAAATTCTAATTTATTTTTCTTGAGTTTCTAAAGCAACCTAAAAACTAGCTGAGAAGACCTGTTTTATAAGTAAGCATTGTAATTAGTATGTAAAGCATATGCAATAGTATTGCTAAAAGTTCTTAAAAATAGTTATGTTTTATTAAACAGGCTTGACATCTGTCCTACAATTTATTTTGTTCTACCAATTTGCTTAGCAAACTATTTTTACCACCAGGAATGAACCAGTTCAGCTCTGATCACAGTATTTCATCATTTTGCAATGAGTCCAGTCCATATGCGTGAGATTTTACTCTCCCTATTATTACCATTTTCTAAATATACAAGTGAATATGGTATGGAATGGTACTTTGTTGGTATTCGCAATATAACCAAGAGGATGAAAATTGTTTTATCATTAATGTCTCTACTGATTCAATTTTTAAAAGAAAAAAAAATTAATGAGAACAATTGTAGGAATCCAATAGGCCTAAGTAAGCACCATCATTTTGTACATTGCCTGTTCAATTTAGTACTAAATTTCAGAGTCTGGAAAGCAATCCTACTTACACACAAACTGTAAAATATATTTGAAATAAAGTCTTGTTTATAAAATCACTGCTGTAATAACTTTTCTTAATAAATCCACGTAGTCCTGGTAGGAAGTTGGAGAAGCCATAGTTAGTTTAGATAGTTACTTACATGGAAGATTGGCTTTTTTCTACTTGTTCTAATATTGGCCTTCAGTAAGCATTCATTTTGCCTTATATTTCAAATCTACAGTTGACGAGAGTACAAATTTGTGAATTGTGGTTGCATGAACTTAAGTTTGTTCAGACTATAGTCATTATTAGTGGGCCTAAAATAATTACACAAATTGTCTTTCTTATTTGGAAATGATCTTCAAGCATCATCATATGCTACTAGGTTAACATGCACAAGAGGAATTAATCTGCTTTCTTATGGGCAGGACTTATTTGACACCAGGAAAATTAAATTGCCAGTGGTATAACAGTGGGCACAAATGTTAACCACAGATATTGAAGAGAGAATTTTAGATTCTCCTCATTAAAGAGTTATCCATTTCCCTGAAGCCCACTGATTTTATAGATCTATAAGCTTTGATATTGTAACCTGTTACATCACCTATATCTAAGACTCTTGCTTATAAAATCCTCTAGTGTAGTGTTATCTTTATCTTCTATTATTAAAATAAAAACTTTATAAGGTCACTTAATTTTTCAAATACTTCACGATTCCCCCAAAGTTTATGTTGGCAAACTATAATAAAGTTTTATAAATTTTATGTTTTTCATGTATTTTAAACACACAATGCCTTAGTTTGCAACTTGAAAAAATATTTAGACACTTTTATGAATACAAAATACAAGTCAAGTAAAATGATAAAAATCATAGGAGGTGGTATGGTTTGTCTTTCCTTGTCTTAATGGTTCAGTATTTGGCAAATATTAATGATGCTAACCTGATTCTTCTGGCAATAAAAAGCCAAATTCTCGTCAAAGTTGATGAATCTCTGCTCCCTAGTGCATCATGTTGACATTATATAAATGCACAGGCTCTTTCACCCACTTTCAAAATTTGGAGTGGCTTACAATAAATACACAAGTACAAAAAATGCCAGCATAGTTAGCGCATAGCAAAATAAAGAGAAAATAAGTAAAGGGTAAGAAATAAAAAGAAATCACACATATGCCTACACATCATAGAAACACACACACATATCCCTTTTTCTTAATCTTTACCTTTTGTTTCTTTACAAAAGAGAGAGAGAGAGTGTGTGTTTATGTATGTACACTGAGGATGACAACTCTAATCACTAAACAAAGAACAGCTCTTATTTTTGTAGCAGCCACAGCAAGGAAACTACATGGATTAGAGAATTCTCATTGCTTAATTGAAGGAAGCATGCAAGTTTATCATGAGAAATAAACCTTCATTCCCTAAATTCTCAGATGGATTTCACACTTAAGGGATAAGGAACAATGCAAAGAGTCACTTTTATGTAAGCAGATTTACAAAAGCTGTAGATTTTCTTCATATATACTTACTCTGTTAGTCCTTAAGCAGAGTTTCATAAAGACAATTTGCAGGGGGTCAGAGAGAAAGATAGTATACATATGAATAGATAACTGGATATATGGATTAAGCAAGGATTTACAAAGGATAAACCTGGAATAATTGTGATTGTGATGAATATTTATCATGTCCCACAGACTAGCTTTTTCAACTATCAGATGTTTTAAATTGGCTTTTAATTATGCAGTGTTCAGTATTATGATAGTTCTATGCAAGATATAAAGCAAATAAGACTAGTGTACATTAAGCAATAAAACAGGATAAGAATATGATTAATGAACCAAACTGAAGTGACTCGGGATTTCAAATCAGAACAAGAATCATTTTAATATTTACTGAGACTTCCATTTTTAAATAAATGTAGTAGGTGGTAAATGGCCAACCTACACCTGGAAAAACTAGAAAATGCTGGAAAAATACCCCCAAAATTATATTTTAGGGCATCAGAAAGCTATGGAAGAAATGAGGGCTAGATGAACCATAATTTCAGAAAAGCAAAAATTCATCTAAGATGAAGCTGATGATTGCTAGCCATTTCTACTTGGAGAAAGCATCAAATTCTAGGTTCTGCTATAAAAGATTTGGTAACTTAATGAGACACTAGCAAAGTAGCTGTGTGGCTCTAAAGTGCCTGAATGGAAACTTGAAAGTGAAGGAAAGTGAAACTGTTAGTCGCCTGGTTGTGTCCGACTCTGCGACCCTGGACTGTAGCTCACCAGGCTTCTCATTCCATGGGATTATACAGGCCCTCAAATACAAGACTGGTTTAATTAATAGCATATTTGCTGAGTTCTGGGTCTGTGTGGGATGTTGGAGATTTATGGCAAGATTCCAAAAGAAAGACTGAAATCTGTGTCATTTAGTCCTTTGGAAACAAAGACCAGCCATAAATATGGGACATGACACAAGCGTACACAATCACCCTCTCAAGACACTTGCCATATTTTATCTACAAGGTGTAACATACTGGACAATTGTGCTGGGAACTTGTAAGAGCTGACCTGAATCCCCTGTAGTTT